TTAGTCTAAGCACAATAAGTACTTTGCACCAGATAGAGATAGATAGATAGATAGATAGATAGATAGATCGATAGATAAATAAATAGATAGATAGAGAGACAGACAGACAGACAGATAAATAGATAGATAGATAGAGAGACAGACAGATAGATAAATAGATACATAGATAGATAGATAGATGACATTTCTATTTCAGACAGATAGGCACAGTATATATTTAATTATTTTTGCGTCTGCATATTTTAAAGCATTATCTATTTAATTCATTGAACACTTGCCATGTTGCATCAGTAGAGTGAAAAGACAAGTTTTAAAGCTAAACCAATCAGTTTATGTCTTGGCAAGCAATTTATTCATTGTCACAATAAATATGCCAACGGAGAGAACATATGAAATATTAGGGATACAAATCAGGGCCTGAAACCTCTCACCTCCTTCTTATGTTATACATGTAGTTCTGAAATCCATCATTACAGAGTTACGCTCATAACCATGCCTACTATGTCTGAGACGACAATAAAACCTTGAGTCGGCTTCTGATCTCACGTAACCTTCTATCTGATCTTCACACATGGTGTAAGCAATGATGATTGCTTTCAAATATAGATCAGTGTTTCCCAAACTAACCCTCAAGGATTTTGGGTGCAGGATTTTGGCATTTCCCTTTTCAAATGGGGATATTGATAAAGTATGAACCGAGCATGTTCCTTGAAAAGTATTTTGAGAGTCACAGGGACTTTAAAATAGAATACGCTAGTCTGAATTCGCCCTGTACTCTACAGCCCTGTATATATTAGTAGGACCAGATCTAACAGACCATCAATGATGGATTGGGAACAGAAACATTGTCCTTTATTTCACTCTATAAACAAAAACATATCTGTGACGGAAGTCACCATTACTGGGGGCTAAAGATGGACACTATGGAGGTCTCCAGATTACTCCTATGTTTTAGTCACCCTGTGACCATTATAAGTACGGGGTGTGTAATGTATTTGTATGTTAATTATTCTCCTCCCCACCCCTTTCGTTGTTGTTTTCGCAGAAGGGCGTTGTCCCATTGTTCCAGAGACACCTTTGGTTTGCTATATAGTATTATATGTGTTTTATGAGTTTTCATTTCTGTATAGTATTATATGTGTTTTATGAGTACTATGGGAGATAATTGTGTAAGTGTGTCCATGTGTGTATAAAAGGTAAAACAGAATGCATGGTAATTAGTTTATTATACAAGAGCTATTGTGCAATGGGTCTAGGTGTCTGGCAGGTAATTCAGTTATGGGCTTAACCTAATTTTGTCCTATATAAACCTATGTTGTGTTCATTAAAATCAGTTCTGGTCTCCATGACAATTGTCCTATTTTTTTAGTACTTTAGGACTTTTGAAGAACAGAACACTTTTTTTAAATCCCCACTTAGAATTAGATGGAAGGTTGAGAGAGGTTAGATTACAAGAGGATAAGCCAAAAAGTAGCCCAGCTGTTAGAATGCTTACGTATCCAACAATCAACACCAACATTCCATCTGGCAAAACATTTATTTGTAGCTATTCAACTTCTGGGTGGATACAAGTTGACTCACCCTCTTCTAAGACCTTGTTGTCTAACTGCACCTTTTTAGTTTTTGGAGTACTTTTCTACTAGTTTTAGAAAGACTCTAATAAATCTCATCGTCGAACTACTGCTCCACAAGGGTCTAGAGATTAACACATGTGCATTTCCTCAATATGTAATATTCTCCCTGGACATAGTTGGATCACATGATTGGTTCCACCTTGGGTGCGTTGCTCCTGCTATCTTCTTCTTTTTTTAATAATCTCAGGAGTTTGCTTGTACAAGAAGTACAGAAATCGTTTCTACGATGCTACATTAACCATGTTCTCTTATCATACGTGCCTATTCATGAATCAGATGATATGGGCATTCATAAAATATAATTTTTCTCTGCCTGCCTTCGCCTTGTCCAATATTATCAGTACGAGCACTGTGTATGCAAGACTCCCCTCTTCTCTCGCCTTAACGTTATCTCTGGCAAAAGATAAAGTTCAATGTATTGAAAGAAAAGAAAGAAAAAAAAAACTTGATTGACAAGTTATCCCCCTGAAGAAATTAAGCTTGTATTTCTTATCCAGGGGCAAAAGGAAGATGCTTCTCTGCTGTGTCCAAGGTCAGATAACTAACCGCAGCTTTCCACATATAAACTCTCATAACAATTTACAGCTTTCTTTCATCTTACTCCCTGTTCAAAACCTGATATCAGTGCACCCCTCCAAGCAAATAAAACCTGTAACTATTCATTCCAGTGGCATGCTCTGTTATTACAAAGGGCAGATTTAGCATTGTTAGCACAACACAAGAAATGGACGAGGTATTATACCAGGCATTCTCTAAGGATTCTTTTTTTTCACATGGTCACGAGTACTGCTAATACCACCACACGCGATTTGCCATGGCTACGTGATATAATCACACTCCCATTTAGTTTCTTAAAAACTGTGACTGCCACATCAACGTTGGCCAACATTGGTGGTGACCAAAGGTAATCACTGTGGTTGCACATGATAACATCAACTTTAGAGTTCTGTAGGATACCTATGCTAGCATGGTACAACCAGCTAGTGGCTCGAAGCATGGTATGCCATGTTGCCACAGGTCCTATAAAGTAGTCTGACATGTGGTATAGAGACAGGTGACAAAGGTTCGTCTATAGTCACTACTCGCCTTCATTTAAAGGAAGAATAATTGCTGGGGTATGGAATCCATAATGTGAGATAAAGCTAGGGCCTGTTAACTTGAGGCTTGATGGTTGCCCACCTTCTTGACCCCATGAAAAGAATATTTTTGACATCGAGTCATGCAAAAGTTTGTGTTAGGGTAACAAAGCTGACATGTGTTATTTGTTTTCGCTTGACTTTTTGGCTTTTACAAAATTATGAAATTCCAGACAGATGGTTTATTCTTAGTGTGACTTGTGCTGATTTTGTGTGAACGAAGTAAGCTCTGTAAAGTACAAAATTCGCCTACGGTTGTGCAACTGCTTGTCCAGCAGTAATTGTTTGACTTTAATTAGATTATTTTTTTTTCCGATCTGTCCTGGGATACCCATTAAACTTTGATGCAAATACTAAGAGCTTGTTTACGCTTAATTACTTTCAGTTTGATTTAATCATCGTGGGTATTAATGCCATGACCCATTGCAGGACACACTCCCAAGTCTCGAGTATCAGAGTTAACCGAATCTCAGAATATACAGAATTTCCTAATGAGGACAATTTGCTGTGGGTCCCACTTGAAATGGGTTATTTAATCATGAATGTTGGACATGTAATCCTGCTTAAGACACAACAAACCTTGATATTAGGAATTGTTTTTTCTTTTACATCCAGAAGGACCATTCAATGAACTTTAGACCAAATCAATCTTGCTATAACATTTGGAATATGGGGCAAAGGAATCTTATCACATTGGCTCACTGTACCAAATGACAAATTAGCAGACAGGTCCCTGGTGACAATTAACTACAAGAATTAAATGTCTGGACGGAAGTTTTAGATCCCTGGCAAGGTCAACTGAATCATTCAACCAGTTGGTAACAATAGCATCTAGACCTCAAGATGTTCTAAAAAAACTGCCAAAATCACTATGGTTATATAGTTCCATGTTATTAATTACCTAGGTCATTTTGTTTATCAAAACCCCCGAACTTACATTTTTTGGCATAAACATAATCTCTTCTATATTGGCACTAAGGCCATTTAATGCATTACAGGTGTTTTGGTCAATACATTTTGATCATTTGTCAGAGGTCCATGACCAGTTACAGTTATTCAGTATTTTTGTCAAGTATTTGATCTTTTTCACCTGGGGGATGCCAAACATTTAACTCTTACGAAATAATCTCAGCTTTTTTGGTCAAGCCTTACTGACCTGGCGGATGTTCGGAAGCAGAGAATGAGTTGGGATGAAAAGAGTTTGGTCCAAATGAAGAATGAAAGAGGTGGCTGGGGGTTAAATATGATTTAGATGAGCTGTAATAGGAATTGGGATGATTTGTTTGCAAGAGAAAAAGAGGAATATGAGCATGCTGTTGGTTTTCGAGAAATATATCAGGTTGTTGAAGGGATTAGATGAATGCAGACTGCCAGGTTAAGGAGAACAGCAGGTGTTTTGGTAGAAAATAATGCACTACAGGTGTTTCGACCAAAGAAACCAAAATCATTTATTTTTTTTTTGCAAAGACAAAGGGAGGTAAAAAGGTCATAGGAGGAGGTATCAGAGAGCAGTTAGGTGTTAAAGATAGTTGTTTAGAGAAAGAGAAAAATACTCCCTGGGTATCAAACTTAAATGCTTGAAATATTCTTGGACCACTACCACAATTCTCGTGCAGGTAAAAGCTTACATCGAATTTGGAATGTTGAAGTTTGGTAACATCTGGATGGGAGCGATGGTTGGAGGGAGATGATTTGGAGAAGGGATAGAAATAAGTGGGTAATGTAAGGGGGGAGGCGATGGCATGAAGTAGGCGGTGGAGAAAGAGGTACAAAGGATGGAGAAGAGGACAGAGAGACTTTACAAAGGGAGGGGGAAGATGGATGGTGTGTTGTGGCAGAACAGCTGCTGTTGGGATCAGATCAGAAATGCTGAGCTGGGGACGTGTGGATTGGTAATTAGTGATTAATACGCACAGCTACTGGGATCGCACACACTCCTCTCTCTCCTTGTCTGGCTTTATTTCTTTCGTGTATTTATAGGCAAAAAAGTACATAACTCGTACACAAAGACTTGAATAAATGTCGACTATAAAAAAGGACAAGAGACACAAAGAATTTGAGATTTTAGCAGGTTTTTAAAGGCAATCTGGGCTGGATACCAAGGTCCTATCTGCCATTAAATTTTGTTTCTATACAGCATACATATACTATACACACATATAAATATATATATATATTTTTATATACATACACATGCACACATTTGCATATGCACAATGTATACATACTCTATAAATGTACATATAATTTATGTATATTGATCTTATATATACAAACAGACGCACATCTATATACATGATATATGTATATGTATGCGCACACACACACACGCCCATGTTTATACATTTCATGACTACAGTTTAAGGCAATAAAAAAAGTATAATCAGCAGATTTGTTGTTTATTTGTCACAGATTATTTGTTTGTGATAAGGCTACAGAGACAATACCACCCCCCCCCCCCACACACACACACACCACAGAACCCCCAAATTAATATATACGACTCACAACCGACACAGTAAATTTTATACTCTGCTAAACCTCATACATATAGCAGCATTCAAACCTCCCCCTCTCCCCAACCGCCCCAGCTCCCCTTGTAAATCACAACAGTGTGCTTTTTTTGGTTTTCTGACAGGGAAGGGGTTAATGGGTCATAGCGCCATCACATTTATATCTTTAATTGGTATGAGCAAAATTGTTCATCTGGAGGTTCGAGGGCCAGAGATGGACATCTGTCATACAATTTAATTTTAATAGCGTCTGGTTTACCAGCTCCCTGCCACCACATGAACCTGATGGCTAGCACTTGTTTAAACCATTAAACCCATTGTGAAACTAGAAATTTAATGACTGTGACATTTTAAGAGGCAATCCCTATTCGAGACAATGTGACATAATGACCTTGACTTGTTCACAGGTCAATGCTACATAAGGACAATATTGTCTAATAAATGTGATTGGTGTAAGGTCAATCCTCTGTAGAAGCGATGTGACCCTCTGACAGTTATTTATTTATTTTTGGGTCTTGTTTAATGAGCTAAACTTTGCCTATACCAACACCAATTAGCCGCTACCTTGTTGCAGGTAACAGTAATTCCGTCTTTGCCAGCGTCGATAAAAAATAACTCTTTGGATCTATATATGAATTGTTGGTGCTAACCTAAATGGTATTTTCTTAGAACCTTCAAGAATATAGTAGTATGTGTTCTCAGCCGTAATTTCAATCAGACCCATAATCTCAATAGAGCTCCAGGCAATGCTATTTTTCAGATAATAATTAGGGACAACACGGTCAGGACATTACTGCATACATTATTACGATTCAAACTTGATGTCCCTCACACCACCTACATAGTATTATGTCCACTTTTTCCACAAATACACAGATACCACAATGGACCAGACCAAGGCACAGGAAGTCCATAAAAGATAGACCCATATTTAGCCCCACTTAGGTTATCCTGTTGCTACCACCTTCTATGACCATAGTCATTTTTTCAGCCAGAAGGTGAATAAGGAATGCTATTGTGATAGTTGTAGTCAGGACAGACCTTCTGCACCAGTCTGTAGTCTGTGGTGTAAAAGGAGACATAAACACAAACAATCTTGAAAGGCTGTGAGCAGGTCCAAGCGACCCGACTGTGGGTTTGCTGCTGGTGACAGGTTTTCGATGGATCATGGGGACACAATCCTGTCTTAATGGCCTTATCCACTTTTTCAAACTCCACCCTGCAGTTGAATATCTTGGATTCTTTTGCTTCTGCATACATCTGCTGCTCCATGTCAAAGTCAAGGACTTTAGATGGTGGAACAAGACTAACAGACACGTTACCTTGACCTGTTGAGTTGTGCCGGAAGTAGACACTGAAGGACCCATTACCATGGTCCACCACTTTTCCTGTTATGAGCAGGTTGAGCTTCACTGTCTTGATATTAGAGTAGAAGTCCCCCCAACCAAAGACTTTCTTAGCTCGTCCAGTGGACCTTAGTACTGACTGGCGCCTGCTCCTTGATGGGACAGGTGGGCCCTGATTTTGGCCCAGCTCAGAAAGACTGCTTAGAACATCCCAAAATTCAGGGGAATTTGAAAGAAGTTGGAGTACAGTAGAATTTTGAGGACTGGCACTGGACATGCGAACTCGGCCCGGCGAGGCAGACCTTCTTTTTGAAATTCGAGATCTGGGTTGGGGTTTGGTGTCTGACTGATCTTCATCATCAGGGTCACCAGAGGAATCTTCCTGGCCACAAATTACCTACATAGGAAATAAAGACATTAATATACATGAACAAGTGGAATTAAGTTTAAGCATACCGAGATAGATCTTTTTGTACTTTGCATATTTGTTCATTTACTTTTTGCAACTCATTTATTTGCAAATCATTTCTTTCTAGTATTGATTGCCTGTGCTTCTTTGCCCTTTATTCAACACAACACTCTCTTGATTCTCATTTTTATTTTTATAGCTTTTCTGATTTTCTTTTCATCACTCCTTTATCCATGTCCCCCCCATTCTTTATCCTATCCCCCCCTTTCATTTTTTGATATCCGCTCACCTGAAAGCACACAAAGTAACAGATGCTACGGCTGGTAATTAGTGGTACTGAGCACAAATCAGTATAACCAGTTTAATGAGAGCTGAGTAATGTGCAGGCACCTTACCTACACCCCCTGGGTATCACAATGTAAAAGAGATGTTGTACCATTATGCTAGAGTTATACAAGAAACACATACAGCTTGAAAGGACATCTTGAAGACTTCCATAGATAGCACAAGAAAGGAAAGCAACAAAAACATATGGAAAAAAATATACAAAACACAAACGCATGAAAAAAAAAAGAGCATCGTGTATAAATAAAAAAGAAAATAAATATATTATTATGAGCTATGTAAAATTTCAGTTTGGCGATTCTTTCTTTTGTTGCATTTTTTTTTGTCCACGTGTTTATACCAAATGAATTTGTACGAAAAAAAGACAGACGTAAACAAACGCATACACGTATATATAAAAGTATCTACTTTACGTTGCTGTAGAAGAATTAGTATCTGAAGACAAACATTCACCTAAATATTTTTTTTTTCATGAGATAACAAATTCCCCATGTGTTCAAACAAAACAAAAGAAAAATTCTCACTTGTATTTGAAAAAAATGTTTTAGTCTTTTATTTATCTACAAATATACGAAAAAAATTAAATTGCAAACCAGAAAACGCACAAATTAAATTTACAAAAACCCATAACTTCATGAACAACCTTTTCTCCCACTAGATTACAAACTATATGAAATACTCAGGGGTACATCACGACTGCTCACTTTGCGACCACTATTGTCACACTAATAAAATGAAGGCAATAAAACATGTAATCTGACAATAAAACATATAAACACAATCTGTAACTAAGTTCTTCTTAGGCTGAGGTTTGTGGGAGTCCTAATCTGCAGCGGAAGGGTGCTATCAGATGTTAATATCTTTAACATGTTAAACATATATGCACTAATATTTTATATGAATAAGTAAATATAGCACAGGAAGGTTTTACAAGCAAGTTAAGTTATAAGGCAGTAGAGTGTCAGCTCTGGTGGTTACAAATGCTGGGAGGCTGTGCATCTGCTCTCTTTTAGCAATGTGTGAAATGGTTAATTTTAAGGGAGGGGGATAACCAAGGAGACAGGGAGGGGGATAAAGAATCTAAATGAGCCAAGTCCAGAGGGAGTTGTATAGAGAGAGAACAATGCACAGATACACAACAGTGCACAAAAAACATGAAATAACAGCAGCACATCATACAAAAACACAGAACTACACAACACGTAATTGCCAACCCGCACAAATACAAAATGACACACAATACTAACAAAACGGAAATTTCATTAACGTGCAGTAGCCGAAAACAACAAGACCATATGACAATTTCAAGCAACATCCAGGCGCAAAAAATATGTAAATTCATGGAAACATATAGTTATGTAAATAAAATTTAATACAGGACAAACAGAGACACGAAAACAGAATACAAATATGCACACACACACGGATAGTTACACAATGCAATGTTACATTTGAGTGACACTGTCGTATACATATACATACATTGCACAGACACACAAAACACACAAACACAGCAACAATGTTACACAAACATCAGTGTGCTACACTAGTTTATCATGTAGTGTTAATAATGGACAACAATGTGTAGATCTTGTATAAACAGTTACACCACACCTATATTCACACACAACTGCTGTACAACAAACACAAGATGTCTTTCCATGTATACAAGGCAAATACCATGTGTAATGAAACAGATAAACACAAAAGTGACACACAACTGCAATTCATAGATTTTTACAAGTATACACAATGATTCTACATATTTGGGATTCAGTGACATATTAACAAATACACAGAACAATGACACACAACTGGCATTTATAGACACTGTTACACATGTATACAACGACGATACACAACATTTGTTTTAACTAATTCACACTAGTGTTTCTCAACACATGACAAAGTATTTTACACTAATACAGAAAATACCACAATACAAATACACATTTAAGCTTTTTATCCCATCAGCATTTAAGGAGCGGAAATGTTTAATACATTCTCTCAGAACGAGTTTGAATGAAGCAAAACATTGCATTTTTGCTTCCATGCATAACAGCATGCAGTTATTACAGAAAACCAAATCAAAGTAACAGTTAGATTTTTATTTATTTTTTTCCGCTAAACTGGATCTTAATGTCAGTGTAGTCAAATATTTTATTGTGGTACAATTAAAGACTGCTTAAATAAGATAAACTGTCGCTTCTCATGATTTTGTTCACTCAAACACTAATTTTAACAAATAAGCATTTGTGAAGTGAGGAGAAGAATAAGATGTAGAAAATCTATTTATCTTACAACTGGAGCCTCCATCTTAGCTCCCTGTCAATCATTGTTAGCTCGCTAGCTCCGCCCTTTGCACCTGTCAATCAGCACAGAGGAACATATTGTGAAGAAGAGAAATGAAACAACGTTTATATTTCTTCTCCTCATTTGCATCATTTGCCATGGCTGTGCCTGGACTGACACTTACTAAGATGACATCTGCTAAATCTTTAATGCAAAATAATAAAATAAATAAATAAATGGAGTATTACATGGGGGGAAAAAAACTACCGAATGTATTACTGCAAATAAAAAATGTCAACTGTCGTACGCAATAGAGCTCTGTCATACATAATTATAAGCAATTAACTCAAAAGCTGCAACTTACACTATTATGGGAACACTCCAAGCACCATAACCACTACAGTATGTTGGCATTCCCCCCATTGTAAGATGTCATACATTTTTGAATGGTGTGACTTCTTGCTCCAGGTCCATTACTAATACCAGAGAGCCAGCAGTTCCTAAGTAGGTACTTCTATTAGCTCTCCTGAGCCGTTTATTGATTAAGTGGGATCAATTGATGCTCTCAGCCAATGCACGGATTAGCCCAGGAGAGCTAACAGAGGTTCCTTCTTAGAAAGCTCAAGCTCTCTGTCATTGGTAATGGAGGTGAGAAGTTGTGCCTGGCACCATAACCATTACAGTGACCTGTATTGGTTATGGTACTTTGAGTGTTCCTTTAACTGGAAGGTAACAGACATACAGGTAATAGATACATGTATGGTGCTCTCATGCTGCTATACTGGCTATATAGAGCTATACAGAGCCATAATACCAAAATTAGGGTGATATTTATCCAGATATACCAGAGAGTCATTATTTGTTAAATAGACACCCACCCAGCGCTGCCTGAGCCTGTTCTCATAATCTGCATTCAGGATGTTACTGTAAATCACGCATGTCAGGCTCAAAGGCTAACACGGGCCAAGTAAACAAGGTTTAAGTTTATGTGGGCTGCAAAAAAATGAAAACTATAGTTTTCATAGAAACATAGGTTTATTTAGAAAAGTAAATTATAAAAAAAAGTTGTGCTGACACCGGATGTCCTCACGCTTGTAGGGCTTCAAAGTCAACGCAAGAACAAATTTATTTTAAGAAGACGTGCATGTGAATATAACCAATGTTTCAGTCCAACTACCTTGACATAGTTAGAAAAGTTTGGTAATGGGACTGAAATGGTGAATGTATGCTGCTGATTTTGAAGTCCTTTGAGTGAGTTCTTCACTTTGGCTGAGATCATAGAACTGATAATCTCAGCCAATCCAATGATTTCCCATAGGAAAGCATTGGGAGGCTATTGTGCATGTGTGGCAAAAAGCTGCGCGGCCAATCAGCATCTCCATTGGGATAGTTCAGCGTCTCCAGACCCAATCTAATACACTGCCCCCTCCTCCCAATCTAATACACTGCCCCCTCCTCCCATTCTAATACACTGCCGCCCCCTCTTACCACTCTAGTACACTGTCCCACTCCCTCCCCCAAATAAAAACACTGCTCCCCCTCCCCAATTTCATACATTGACCCCCTACCTTCCCCAAATTAATAGAGTGCCCCCTCCCTAAAATGAATACACTGCCCACTCGCTCCCCAATTTAATAAACTGCCCCCTCCCTTCCTCCCTCAAATTAATACATTGCCCCCTCCCCAGTTTAACACACTACACAGGAAGGTCCCCCAAGCCCCTCTTCCCCTGCCTTAAAATGAGCCTGTCCTGATAATCTGCAGTCAGGAGGTCGCTGTACATTATATATAAACCCAGCGCTGTCTGAGCCTGTCCTGATAATCTGCAGTCAGGAGGTCGCTGTGCATTATATATAAACCCAGCGCTGTCTGAGCCTGTCCTGATAATTTGCAGTCAGGAGGTCGCTGTACATTATATATAAACCCAGCGCTGTCTGAGCCTGTCCTGATAATCTGCAGTCAAGACAGCGCTGTACATTATATAGAAACCCTGCACTGTCTGAGCCTGTCCTGATAATCTGCAGTCAGGAGGTCGCTGTACATTATATATAAACCCAGCACTGTCTGAGCCTGTCCTGATAATCTGCAGTCAGGAGGTCGCTGTGCATTATATATAAACCCAGCGCTGTCTGAGCCTGTCCTGATAATCTGCAGTCAGGAGGTCGCTGTACATTATATAGAAACCCTGCACTGTCTGAGCCTGTCCTGATAATCTGCAATCAGGAGGTCGCTGTATATTATATATAAACCCAGCGCTGTCTGAGCCTGTCCTGATAATCTGCAGTAATTTCCAGAGTGTTCTTCTTTGGGATCATACAGCTTAGAAACACCAAACAACATTTTAAATCTTTTAAATCCCAAGGTCCCTTTTCTGGAAGTCTGATATTTGCATTTGTATGAATATCGAACACAGCTCTACAGCAATAATATTGTGAGTAATGTGCTTCAGATTACAGTGAGAATGTTTAGAGAAGATTTAGCATAAATAAAATAATTTTAACTGACTTTTTCAATTACATGGATGAATATCAGGGGGTTAGGAATTATGTAATTTAAATTGTTTTAAAATACCCCACTCCCTGACTCAGACCTGCCGATTGTTCTGATTTTAGTGGGACAGTCCTGATTTTAAGATCCTGACCCGCTGTCCCAGGTTTATCACTAAATAGTGTAGCTCTGGTCGCACTATGTTTACAGCATTAGGGACCCTGCAGACAGAGCTGAAACATTCTCCCTGCAGGGTCTGTCCTCAATGGGCCAGCATGTCTGAGTGACAGACATCTTGGCGTGCATCCACACTAGGCTGACCTGCCAGTTTGTTGTGAAGACCCACCCCCATTCATGGAGGGTCTGCCGTCTTTGGGGCAGCACCAGTGATGCAATTTGCATAACTGCCCCACCCTTTTTTACCCTGCCCACTGATATCTCGATTCACAGGATACCGATGTTGTGGGTTCTGCTAACTACATCTTGAGTGGTACCCTAATAAAACAATATTATATTGTACTTCATTTGCCATTTGAACTCTTTAGAGGTTTATAATGCACATCATACAGAAACCCAGCACCATTTTAGGCTTTCCTGGTAATCTGCAGTCAGGAGGTTGCTGTACATTATATATAAACCCAGTGCTGTCTGAGCCTGTCCTGATAATCTGCAGTCAGGAGGTCGCTGTATATTATATATAAACCCAGCGCTGTCTGAGCCTGTCCTGATAATCTGCAGTCAGGAGGTCGCTGTACATTATATATAAACCCAGCGCTGTCTGAGCCTGTCCTGATAATCTGCAGTCAGGAGGTCGCTGTACATTATATATAAACCCAGCGCTGTCTGAGCCTGTCCTGATAATCTGCAGTCAGGAGGTCGCTGTATATTATATATAAACCCAGCGCTGTCTGAGCCTGTCCTGATAATCTGCAGTCAGGGGGTCGCTGTACATTATATATAAACCCAGCGCTGCCTGAGCCTGTCCTGATAATCTGCAGTCAGGAGGTCGCTGTACATTATATATAAACCCAGCGCTGTCTGAGCCTGTCCTGATAATCTGCAGTCAGGAGGTCGCTGTACATTATATATAAACCCAGCGCTGTCTGAGCCTGTCCTGATAATCTGCAGTCAGGAGGTCGCTGTACATTATATATAAACCCAGCGTGTCTGAGCCTGTCCTGATAATCTGCAGTCAGGAGGTCGCTGTACATTATATATAAACCCAGCGCTGTCTGAGCCTGTCCTGATAATCTGCAGTCAGGAGGTCGCTGTACATTATATATAAACCCAGCGCTGTCTGAGCCTGTCCTGATAATCTGCAGTCAGGAGGTCGCTGTACATTATATAGAAACCCAGCGTTGTCTGAGCCTGTCCTGATAATCTGCAGTCAGGAGGTCGCTGTACATTATATATAAACCCAGCGCTGTCTGAGCCTGTCCTGATAATCTGCCGTCAGGAGGTCGCTGTACATTATATAGAAACCCAGCGCTGTCTGAGCCTGTCCTGATAATCTGCAGTCAGGAGGTCGCTGTACATTATATATAAACCCAGAGCTGTCTGAGCCTGTCCTGATAATCTGCAGTCATGAGGTCGCTGTATATTATATATAAACCCAGCGCTGTCTGAGCCTGTCCTGATAATCTGCAGTCAGGAGGTCGCTGTGCATTATATATAAACCCAGCGCTGTCTGAGCCTGTCCTGATAATCTGCAGTCAGGAGGTCGCTGTACATTATATATAAACCCAGCGCTGTCTGAGCCTGTCCTGATAATCTGCAGTCAGGAGGTCGCTGTACATTATATATAAACCCAGCGCTGTCTGAGCCTGTCCTGATAATGTGCAGTCAGGAGGTCACTGTATATAATATATATAAAACCATCACTGTCTGAGCCTGTCCTGATAATCTGCAGTCAGGAGGTCACTGTACACAATACTGACACTCAGCAGTGTCTGGTTCAGTCTGCAATGTACTATGACATTATTCATGCAATGAACAGACCCTTTAGCCCACTAAACATGTTTCTGTCATTAGGTCAATTTATTTCCCAGTGGGACTTCTTAACATTAAATATGCAACTATCATTAACTTACCTATTTACTCTACAGGACTGACCTTTAACCTCTGAAACATGTCACTGTCATTGGGTCACTGTATTCCCAAGTGAGACAGACCCTTTAATTAAACATGTCCTTAAATTACATTTCTCCTAAATCTTGTGAAAATACTCAACATTAGCAATAAACACATTTGAATTTACAATAATGATTGAATCCATTATTCTTTTCACATTGGAGAAATAGAAATGCCACTGTCTATCTATCTATCTATCTATCTATCTATCTATCTATCTATCTATCTATCTATCTATCTATCTATCTACCTATGGATATATCTATCTATCTATCTATGGATCTATCTATCTACCTATGGATATATCTATCTATCTATCTATGGATCTATCTATCTATCTATGGATATAGCTATCTATCTATCTATGGATCTATCTATCTATGGATCTATCTATCTATCTATGGATATATCTATATATCTATCTATGGATCTATCTATCTATGGATCTATCTATCTATCTATGGATATATCTATCTATCTATCTATGGATCTATCTATCTATGTATCTATGTATCTATGTATCTATGTATCTATCTATCTATCTATCTATCTATCATATCATTCTTATAAATCACATTACAGGCACAGTGTAGCAGGCAACAGGTTGACAGCAAACTGTTCTATAGACGGCAGAAAACAGCCTGGGAATTATTAAACACAAGCATCCTTTGGACAATTCTAGGGTTTCCCCTTGAATGCTGTAGCCGTCTTTGCCATTGACAAATAAGTAAGCGTTGATACCACCTCTGCTAGCAGTATAATAATAATAATAATAATAATAATAATAATACGTTCTTGGGAGAGAGATGCTAGGTAGAAGATAGGGAATATTTAAGTTCGTCCTAGAATAGAGAATTCTACGGATAGAATACAGGGGGAGAGGGCAGCAGGTGTTAGAAGGGAATGAAGAATCACAGGAGAGATAGAGTGGATAAGATAAGATAAGAGGAGAGCAAAGATAAAAATGATTGAGGGATTGCGAGACAGACAATTATATTGGGAGACATATTAGAGGTACAGACAGAGAGAAAGATAAAGAGACAAACAATTATATTGGGAGACATATTAGAGGTACAGACAGATGGAAGGGAAAATGAGACAGACAGGCAGAGGGATGAGAGAGAGAGTAGTGACAGACAGACAGAGAGAGGGCATAGAGACAGACAGACACAGAGAAAGAGAGGGCAGAGAGACACAGACAGGGCTCTGTACACTCACCAGATAGATGCTCCCCTGTACCAGAAATATGAAACAGCATTGTGTGAGCTGCATGATGCTTGCTCGGGAGCCGAGGTTGGCAGTAAACCCTCACCTCACCTGCGTGAAGCGCCCATGTGTACGCTGTCTGTACACAGCTTTCTATATACACACAGCCTGGCTGATCTCTCTCTCTGATCCTCTCTCACTTCTCCCCTCGTCTCTCATTCCTTTGCCCTTCTCCCTTACACCTCTCTCACTCCCTCCTTACTCCACTCCTCCTCCTTTCCCCCCTTTTTTTCTCTCTCACTCTTTTTTTTACCGTTTCTGGTCCTTCTACCTTTTACTCCCCCCCTTACTAATTCTCTGTTCTCTTACACCTCACCTGTCGTCTGATCCTTTCTTTACCTTTATATCCTCTTCTTTACACCTCTTTCCAATGCACTATTTTTTTCCCCTGACCTCTCGCTGATGTCTCTTTTCACCTGGTCTCCTCTCCTTGCTGTCTCTCACACACCTTTCCTTCTCTCCCCAGATCTGATTGGCTGATGTTTGCCTCTTACTTTCAGTCCTTTTGGTAGAGTCTATCACCCCCAACCTCTGCCCCCCTTTGGTGTGCTTTCTTGTGTCTTTCTTTCTCTCTCTGACCTTCTATCTCCCTCCCTCTGTCTTTCTCTCCTCCCCTTAGACACTCTCCCTCTCTCGCTGTCTCTCTCTCTCTCTCTATTTCTCTCACGCACTCTCGTTCACCCTCCTCTAACACAGTTCACCTTTCAGACTTTCTGACCCACCCCCCCCTTTTCTAAACCTCTCTGCAACTGTTTCTCTTTCAGTCATTCTTTTATCATTCCCCCTTTCTTTATCCCGTCCAGTCATTCCTTCCACTTTCTCTACTATTTTTTCTTTCCCATGCTGTCTTAGACTCTCGTTCTTTCTCCTGTCTCTTCCTTTGTCAGTGTCTCCCCCTCGCTCTGCTCCACCTGTCCCCCCTTCCCACCCAGCACGTCACTCATGAATGGGTCAATATACCAGGTTAGATACAAGACTCTTCCAATTACATTGATGTTTAGCTAGACAGCTTTATTCTCTGCTAGCTGATGGCAGGAAATATAGAAGCATTGCTTCTTCTTATCATCATTTATTGGTGTATAATTTAGGTAGGCACTAGATGGAGCATTATATGGAGTAACAGGAGGAGTTATAGAGAGAGAGGTTATATGGAGTAACAGGAGGAGTTATAGGGAGAGGTTATATGGAGTAATAGGAGGAGTTATAGGGAGAGGTTATATGGAGTAACAGGAGGAGTTATAGAGAGAGGTTATATGGAGTAATAGGAGGAGTTATAGCGTGGGGTTATATGGAGTAATAGGAGGAGTTATAGGGAGAGGTTATATGGAGTAATAGGAGGAGTTATAGAGAGAGGTTATATGGAGTAATAGGAGGAGTTATAGGGAGAGGTTATATGGAGTAATAGGAGGAGTTATAGGGAGAGGTTATATGGAGTAATAGGAGGAGTTATAGAGAGAGGTTATATGGAGTAATAGGAGGAGTTATAGGGAGAGGTTATATGGAGTAATAGGAGGAGTTATAGGGAGAGGTTATAGGGAGTAATAGGAGGAGTTATAGAGAGAGGTTATATGGAGTAATAGGAGGAGTTATAGAGAGAGGTATATGGAGGAGTATATAGGAGTAATAGGAGGAGTTATAGAGAGAGGTTATATGGAGTAATAGGAGGAGTTATAGAGAGAGGTTATATGGAGTAATAGGAGGAGTTATAGAGAGAGGTTATATGGAGTAATAGGAGGAGTTATAGGGAGAGGTTATATGGAGTAATAGGAGGAGTTATAGAGAGAGGTTATATGGAGTAATAGGTGGAGTTATAGAGAGAGGTTATATGGAGTAATAGGAGGAGTTATAGAGAGAGGTTATATGGAGTAATAGGAGGAGTTATAGGGAGAGGTTATATGGAGTAACAGGAGGAGTTATAGAGAGAGGTTATATGGAGTAATAGGAGGAGTTATAGGGAGAGGTTATATGGGGTAATAGGAGGAGTTATAGAGAGAGGTTATATGGAGTAATAGGAGGAGTTATAGAGAGAGGTTATATGGAGTAATAGAAGGAGTTATAGGGAGAGGCTATATGGAGTAATAGGAGGAGTTATAGAGAGAGGTTATATAGAGTAATAGGAGGAGTTATAGAGAGAGGTTATATAAAGTAATAGGAGGAGTTATAGAGAGAGGTTATATGGAGCAATAGGAGGAGTTATGGGAGAGATTATATGGAGTAATAGGAGGAGTTATAGAGAGAGGTTATATGGAGTAATAGGAGGAGTTATAGAGAGAGGTTATATAAAGTAATAGGAGGAGTTATAGAGAGAGGTTATATGGAGTAATAGGAGGAGTTATAGAGAGAGGTTATATGGAGTTATAAGATAAATTATAGTTAGAGAATACATGGAATTGTTAAGTCGGTTTGACATTTAGAACAGATATAACCATGTTATTGCATGACGTAATCAATAAAACTAACCTTTGCAATGCATTCTGGGATGTGGCATCACTGCTTCGTATCCTCTGAGAACTATAATGCTTTGTTTCCTAAAATTGCATCAGGGTCAAATACGCATGGGACATGGGGACAATGCACACATCCAGTGACACAGGTGACACAAACACATGTTCCCCAGTGTTTAATGCCGCAGAGAGGAGAAATAAAATACTTTAACTATTACAGTACCCATGGTGTGTTTGTAAAAAGATGATCGCTTTCTCTTGTCACACTGACTAAATGTATATAATACATCAACCACTTAACATAAAATCTTAATATTTACTTCTACAGTGTTTCTGGTGCTGTCACTGTGGTCATGGAAGTGCAGGCTATTAGGTCTGAAAAAACAAAACAAGATTCTACAATAGAAAACCCCTTAGATATAGATTAATATTTTAAGTAAGACTTTAAAACAGGTATGCTTTATTTTACTTAGAGCCCTCATTTATATCATAACTGCTATCAATATGGGGATTACATGGAGTAATAGGAGGAGTTATATAGAGAGGATATATGGAGTAGTAAGTGGAGGAGTTATAGGGAGAGGTTATATGGAGTAATAGGAGGAGTTTTAGGGAGGTTATATGGAGTAATAGGAGGAGTTATAGAGAGGTTATATGGAGTAATAGGAGGAGTTATAGAGAGAGGTTATATCGAGCAATAGGAGGAGTTTTAGTGAGAGGTTATATGGAGTAATTGGAGGAGTTAAAGGGAGAGGTTATATGGAATAATAGGAGGAGTTATAGAGAGATGTTATATGGAGTAATAGGAGGAGTTATAGGGAGAGGTTATATGGAGTAATAGGAGGAGTTATAGGGAGAGGTTATATGGAGTAATAGGAGGAGTTATAGGGAGAGGTTATATGGAGTAATAAGAGGAGTTATAGGGAGAGGTTATATGGAGTAATAGGAGGAGTTATAGGGAGAGGTTATATGGAGTAATAGGAGGAGTTATAGGGAGAGGTTATATGGTGTAATAGGAGGAGTTATAGGGAGAGGTTATATGGAGTAATAGGAGGAGTTATAGAGAGAGGTTATATGGAGTAATAGGAGGAGTTATAGGGAGAGGTTATATGGAGTAATAGGAGGAGTTATAGAGAGAGGTTATATGGAGTAATAGAAGGAGTTATAGGGAGCGGTTATATGGAGTAACAGGAGGAACTATAGGGAGGGGATATATGGAATAATAGGAGGAGTTAATGAGAGAGGTTGTATGGAGTAATAGGAGGAGTTATATAGAGAGGTTATATGGAGTAATAGGAGGAGTTATAGAGAGAGAGATTATATGGAGTAATAGGAGGAGTTATAGAGAGAGGTTATATGGAGTAATAGGAGGAGTTATAGGGAGAGGTTATATGGAGTAATAGGAGGAGTTATAGAGAGAGGTTATATGGAGCAATAGGAGGAGTTATAGAGAGAGGTTATATGGAGTAATAGGAGGAGTTATAGGGAGAGGTTATATGGAGTAATAGGAGGAGTTATCGGGAGAGGTTATATGGAGTAATAGGAGGAGTTATAGGGAGAGGTTATATGGAGTAATAGGAGGAGTTATAGGGAGAGGTTATATGGAGTAATAGGAGGAGTTATAGGGAGAGGGTATATGGAGTAATAGGAGGAGTTATAGGGAGAGGTTATATGGAGTAATAGAAGGAGTTATAGGGAGAGGTTATATGGAGTAATAGAAGGAGTTATAGAGAGAGGTTATATGGAGTAATAGGAGTTATAGGGAGAGGTTATATGGAGTAATAGGAGGAGTTATAGAGAGAGGTTATATGGAGTAATAGGAGGAGTTATAGAGAGGTTATATGGAGTAATAAGAGGAGTTATAGAGAGAGGTTATATGGAGTAATAGGAGGAGTTATAGAGAGGTTATATGGAGTAATAGGAGGAGTTATAGGGAGAGGTTATATGGAGTAATAGGAGGAGTTATAGAGAGAGGTTATATGGAGTAATAGGAGGAGTTATAGGGAGAGGTTGTATGGAGTAATAGGAGGAGTTATAGAGAGAGGTTATATGGAGTAATAGGAGGAGTTATAGAGAGAGGTTATATGGAGTAATAGGAGGAGTTATAGAGAGGTTATATGGAGTAATAGGGGGAGTTATAGAGAGAGGTTATATTGAGTAATATGAGGAGTTATAGAGAGAGGCTATATGGAGTAATAGGAGGAGTTATAGGGAGAGGTTATATGGAGTAATAGGAGGAGTTATAGGGAGAGGTTATATGGAGTAATAGGAGGAGTTATAGGGAGAGGTTATATTGAGTAATAGGAGGAGTTATAGGGAGAGGTTATATGGAGTAATAGGAGGAGTTATAGGGAGAGGTTATATGGAGTAATAGGAGGAGTTATAGAGAGGTTATATGGAGTAATAGGAGGAGTTATAGAGAGAGGTTATATGGAGTAATAGGAGGAGTTATAGAGAGAGGATATATGGAGTAATAGGAGGAGTTATATGAATAGAGGAGTTATAGTTATATGAGTAATAGGAGGAGTTATAGAGAGAGGTTATATGGAGTAATAGGAGGAGTTATAGAGAGAGATATATGGAGTAATAGGAGGAGTTATAGAGAGGTTATATGGAGTAATAGGAGGAGTTATAGAGAGAGGATATATGGAGTAATAGGAGGAGTTATAGAGAGAGGATATATGGAGTAATAGGAGGAGTTATAGAGAGAGGTTATATGGAGTAATAGGAGGAGTTATAGGGAGAGGTTATATGGAGTAATAGAAGGAGTAATAGGGAGAGGTTGGATGGAGTTTTAGGGAGATAGTGTATAGCATAGTAGGATGAGTTATGGTAATTGTATTAAATAATCTGTTAGGTTTCTTAGTCTGATCTCAGGGCTTTGATTGGTGAGAAGGTTTCTCAGGTTTATTCAAAAATTGACTATTTCATATTTTGCTCTAATTTCCCAATACCTGAGCTAAAGGACTGGCTATAACTTTATTATAAATCCCTGCTTGTGTAAAGGTGACTTATTAAGACCTTTGACGTTGCATTTTACTTGACGAACAGTATTGAAATTCTTTAGTTGCCAGAATTGTTGATGCACTACGCATCACCCTCTAGGTAAATTACGAAAGAGTTAATACTTTGCCGAGTCGTACCGTCTGTTTATCCAGAATTTTCGCTGGCCTGGTCTTACGGCGAAATTGGAGGTTTAAGATTTAGAGGTTACACGGAGCAATATGAGGATTAATAATAGCAGAATACAGAAATAGAAAACCCCAGCATAAATGGCTTCAGTTATTCAAAGCATGGGTTGGCATTTACAGTTAGCGATTTCGAGATATGGGATGAACATTTGTCGTACTGCGTTGTGTGCTGAATCTTATAACCAGTGAGAGAATTAAGTGATTTGATTTATAAGGC